AAGTGCTGTTGAGTTAGGCTGTAGGGTATGTTCCATGCTGGAATGGAAGCAGCACACTTGGCCAGCTTGCTTTGAACTTTAGCATCGGATCGTAGCCTGGATTGGGTGTATGGGCCTGAACGTGGTGCACTGGTTGCAACATGGGTTGTTACTTTCAGGTACCGGGTCTACAGTCCTCTTATTAAGTTAAATGTGCACTAGGATCTCACGTCCAGCTACATAATCTTATGAACCCCCTAGAAATTTACTACCTCAGCATATTTTGATCATGCACTGTCCTTTGGGAGCTTGATGGCATTCCACTCCCCCAAACAAACAAAAATCACATGTATACAGTTTACCCGAATGAGCGGAGAGGTCAGTGAATAACTCTGTTAACGCAAAACTTTGGTGAGCAGATAGAGCAAAGGCATTGTGAATTTCTTCTGAACCCTGTTTGTTCCTCTTTTCATTGTTTTCCCCTGCTCCCAGATCAGCGGATCCGTTTGTTTCTCAAATGCTGTTTGCTTCATGGCATGCAGGAGTCTCTGCTACACTTTCCTGGAGGCCTCATTCTCATTGAAAGGGAGTTGGCAGAACTGGGCTGGAAGTTTCTCAATCTGATGCATCATAATCAGCAGGTATTTGGCCCATACTATGCTGAGATCCTAAAAAACATCATCCATCCAGCTCAAGCACAAGAAACAGATGTGGAGCATAACTGATAGTGCTGGACCCCAGCCATGGCAACAGGGATCCAGGAGAGAGAGGTCAGCATGTTTCTGGGAGGACATCACCTGTGGTCAGTCGAACACTCAGCCCTCTTCCTTGCTACAGCCAGGACACAGGGATGCAGGGGTCAAGCATGTAAACACCAAATGGCCCAATCCCCTTCACTAATAAACTTCTGAGCTGCAAGAAAATTTCAGTTCCTCCTGTGTTCTAGCTAAAGTCAGGTTCTGCACCCTCATCCCCTAACTAGCTGAGTGAGAATCCAGTGGGCCCTCCGTTTTCCCTTCACTGGCTGATCATTCTTCAGTAGGCTTGCCTGAGCTGGAATCTGGGCATCAGGTACTGGTAAGGGAAAATCCTGGGACTGTATAGAATAATGCCCCCTCAAAACTGGGAAGGAGCTAAGAGACCAAAGAATGACCCGGACAAGTTCAACTTGATAAGTAGATGAATTTATTGGGACTTACGTATGGGGCATTCCTGGGTGGCAGCAGGACGGCTCTGGGGATCTGCCCTGACACTCGTCTGCAAGCTGATTTTAAGCTAATTTTCTGGCTCTTTGCCTTCCATATGCAATGAGACTCTTTTTCTTGGTATGTTTCCCAGTACGCCCTGGGATGTTTTGGTTCTCACGGACACCTTGGCTCCTAAGCTGGGCACCATGCGTGGCCTTGGATCACCACCTGGCCTTCAGGGTTCAGGCAGCAGACATACAGCCTTAAGTAATCTGGTGGGGGAGGGGAGAACTCATTAACCTGCCGTCACTAGCATTATTTTCTCCAGTGAAAACTCATTTCCTTGAGGGCTTTGAAAACTCTTTGTGAGATTATCCAGAGAATGAATATAAGGGCTTCTGGAAGTCAGAAATTCACTGAATTGCAGATGAAGAGAAGTCATAGAACTCCATTTCTAGCACCACATTTCCTTATAATTTTCAAGGATACAGCAATAGTAAGAGTTCCCAGCTCCTGTTCCAATGTCCGGTTTTAAACAGTATGAAAACTGGGGATTGGTTGAAAGTTGATATTGTGAATATCAACTTTGTGCCAACAAGCATTCAGCTAAGGACAGGTCTCAGCTTCCATGAGATTTCTGTTTCTTTCAAGTGATTCTAGGGGTCAGGCTTGGAATCTCTGATAATGACAGTAAACCGAAGCAATTAGGTCAGTGAGTGTCGTATCAAGTTCACTCCGATCCTATTTCTATAGCTGAATTAATCTTATCTTTCCACGTCGCTAGGCTTAGAACATCTCATTCTTCTTGACAGAATCGATGTGCGTATTCAAGCGTGGGGCCGCTGCCATGCTTTTTCCCACTCCTAGTCTGGGACTCCAACTGCCAAGTTATGAATATGAGCTGACTTGGCAACACAAATGATAAATGTTCTTGGTCCACAAGGACTTGGGCTTGTTTTTAAAGACTGCAGAGGTTCATCCCATCATTCCCAGGCCTACTGCAGCAGACAAGCAGCAATCTAGAAAATTAGGTAAAAAATTAGGTTTGGATTTGGACTAGGTTTGGATTTAGAAGGGACAGGGAAAAATAGAAACTTACTTGTGGGATAGACCCAAACTGGGTGAAAAAAAAAAAAATCATATCCTCATTATTTCGGCGGATGGAAGGAGCTGAGTACAATTTACTCAGCCCAAGAAAAGTAACAGATGAGATTGGAGTTTCGTTAGTCCCAGGGGAACCACCTGATTGATTTCCCTAGAGGGTGGATACCAGATGGGTGACATAGCTGGGTAAACAGAGTGCTACTTTTACTTTGGCTGGAGATAAGGCACACAGAAAAGCTGTGGAATGGATCACTCAAGTGTTCTAATCTTGTGACTAGATAATCTCAGGACAGAGACCACGGCAGATGAATGTTTTATAATTAATAAATAGGCAGTGAGCCCGGCCTAGTTAAATTATCTAATCTGATTAGACAATACTAGTACAATTTTTTTAAAAAATATTAATTTTGGGAGCCAGATTATCTTACAGACAAGTGTGTTCTGAAGCGATCCCTGTGAAGATGACTGAGTAGTTGATGGATACTGACTTTCGGCTGCAGTGAAACTTTGCTTTATACTTTATAATTAAAATCTGACTTATTTTGATTTCTTGGAGATTTTGAGTTTATTGGTTCTCTTGTGCTTCCACATGGAGGAAATGGGAATCCTGATCCTAAACAAGGAAAGATAGCTCCACTCAATTCTGTTCACCATTTAGGGATGGATGGATGCACAGTTAGATAGGTGGAACATGCACATGGTTAAAAATGACATGCAGTACAGAGAAAATTTGGTTTCTTTCCCACCCCTGTATCTCATTTGTCCTACTTAGAGGAAACTGTTTCCAGGTTTTTGTGTATACTTCTAAAGATATTCTGTGCATATGCAAGTATATATTATAATTACAACTAATATTTGTGAGTGTGTATGCGCCAGGCACTCTTTTAAGCACTCTACATATATTATTTCAATTATTCTTTAACAATTTATCTCCAATCTACTTTTCCAATTTTAGAACAATGTGGTACAGAAAGCTCTAATTGAGGGTGAGAACCTGTGTTTGTTTGTTTATATATTTACTTATTTATCTGGTCTTCTTTGAGTGAGTAAGGGAAAATCATTTCACTTTCTTGGGCTTTTTCTTTGTCTTCATCTATAAAATTCAATACTTGACTAAATTACTGATTTTGTTGTTCAATTCTATAGAGTTATTTGTCGAAAAATGAAATCTTTCCAGAAAGACCACGAATAAGAGAGATCAAAGCTAGGCCGCTTGAGTTGAAGTAGAGCTGGAAGAAGGAGTTTTGAGGACTGTTTCAAAACCACTGGACTAGATCATCTCTAGAGGTTCCTGTATTATTTTCTTCTTTTCTTATGGCTGTTGTAACAAACTACCCCCTGAACTTTGTGGCTTAAAATAACATACATTTATTCTTTTATCATCCTGAGTGTCAGAAGACCAAAATCAGTTTCAGTGGGTCAAAATCAGGAAGTCAGCAGGACCAGGCTCCCTCTGGTAGCTCTAACGGAGAATCCATTGCCTTGCCATTTTTAGCTTCTGAAGCTGTATTCTTTATTCCTTGGCAAGGCAATGGATTCTTCCCTGGAGCTTCCAGAGCTCCCATTCCTTTACCATCCAAGCCAGCATCATAGCGTCTTGTGTCAGTCACCACATTGCGTCCTTCTATGTGAAATGTCCCTCTCCTTCCCTCTTAATAAGGAAACGTTCTTACATTTAGCGCCAGGCAGGATAATCTCCCCACCTCAAGGTCCTTAGTCACATTTGTAAAGTCCCTTTTGCCATATGAGGTGACAGTCAAGGGTTCCAGAGACTACAACATGGATATCTTTGGAGGCCATTATTTAGCTTACCACAGCCTACCCTCTAACTTCCCAAAATTCATGTTCATTCTACATGCAAAATATATTTGCCTCACCTCAATATCCCCAAAAGTCTTGACTCCAACTAGAGTTGAAAATCTCATCTGTAAATCATCTAAACCAGGTATGAGACAGACTCTGGGCATGATCCTTCTTGAGGCAAAATTTCTTTTCATCAGTGGCCCTGCGAGCTAGAAAAAAGGTTACCTCTTTTTTATTACAGTGGTGACACGGACATAGGATAATAGTTATAGACATTCCCCCTCCCAACGGGAAAAAAATGAAAGCAAGCAAAAAGTTATGAGCTCCAAACCAACTTGAAATCCAATCGGGTAAACTCGTTTAGGTTTCAAGGCCTGGGAATATTCCTCCGTGGCTAGAGGTTCTGCCCTCTATGCCTGAGGTTCCATCCTTTAAGTGAACAGAGCCAGGCTCTGTCCTCAGAGTCATCTTTTTTTTTTGTTTTTGTTTTTGTTTTTGTTTTGAAGAGTAATACATGTTTGCAGCAGAATACTTTTATCTGCCTGTTTCTTGCCTGTAGAATTTTGGAAGTCCAACAGCCTTCTTTTATTTCATCCTCTCTCTGTCACTTTCAGTTCAAGTTGGCAGTGTTTCTGCTGGCATGGCATTCTTTGAAAACCTCATGGGTCTACTCTATGTGTTGAGGATTCTCTCCACTGGACAAGAGGTTACTTGACAGATCTTTCCTGGATAATCTTATCTCTATTCCTGGATTCTGCTGAGAAGATCGAGGGGACCCACGAGTCACATGCATGATTTAATTGAGCCCTGCGAACATTCTGATCTTTTCATCCTTTCAATGCTTTAGCAAAAGATTCTCCAGCCATATCCTTGGCTTTCTTCTTACTGCATGTTTTCCTGAGAGTCAATCTCCCAATTTTAGCATTTTGTGCAGTCTGAATAGGCTGAGAATTTCCCACATCTTAAAGTCTTGGTTCCTTTTTGCTTAACAGCTCTCATCCCTCAATTTCTCCTTTTATTCTTGTATTATGCTATAAGCACCACTAAGAAACCAGACCACAGCTTCAACATGTTACTGGGAAATCTACTCAAATAAATATTCGGGTTCATCCCTTTTAAGTTCTGCTTTCCACACAAATGTAAGGCACAATTGAGCTGAGCTTTCTGCCCCGATGTGACAAGAATACCCTGTCTCCCAGTTTCCAAAAACATGTTTCTTCTTTCTGAGCCCTCAACAGCAGTGCCTTTTATCATCCATATTTCTACCAACAGTTCTGTGATAATTTAGGTATTCTCTAAGACAATACAGGCTTTCTTTGCTGCACGAGTCACTCCCTTGTGCTACATTCTTTATTGAGATATAATTCACACAACAAAAGTTTCCTATTTTGAAAGATAACAATTCAGTTTTTTTTTTCAGTGTGCTCACTGTGTTGTGTGCGATCATTCCCATAATCTATTTTGATAACATTCCCATCATCCTAAAAAGAAATCCTGTACCTATTAGCAGATCCCTGCCCTAACCCCCAGTAGTTACTAATCTACATTATCAGGGGCTCCTCTGTGAGCGGTATTCCTTGTGGCCTCACAGTGGCTTAGCCCTGGGATAAGTCCAGCAAGGGAGGGGAGCAAAGCAATGCACTGTGGCTGACCACTGTCTACCTGGTGCCAGAGTGGTGGCTGCCGCCCCAAGGCAAAGACCTTGGCAGCAGAGAAAGTAGTTAAGAAGGAAGTTTTTTTTTTTTTGGAGGGGCAAAGTCTCTAGAAGTATGGGAAGACCCTCTCTGCATGCAGTCCCATGTAAAGACCTCAAATCCCAAGGCTAGAGA